CTCCCAGCTCCCTGCTCTGAGTCCCCCACCTCCTGCCTTGATTTCTTCATTCCCCCGCCATGAGCTTCCCCACACCTCCCAGCCCCCTGGCCTGATGCCTGCAGCCCATCCCTCTGCCCTGATCCTTCCCACATCGCCAAGCTCCCTGTCCAGACTCCTGCCCCCTGCCTTGAGCCCCCACCACACACCCAACCCGCTCCCCAATACAATAATTTAAATACAACATGTACGTTTTCCTTTTAATTTACCCCCCCAAAAGACCCCAACCCACAGAACGGATACTGATGAAAATGTATCCCCATGAGTCATCAATCCCACAACTGACTCCAGAGGTTTGGAAAGTCAGGAGGTTAAACGTTCTTGCACTTCAGTGGTTGTGTTGTGGTGTGGTGTGGTGTGGTGCGGTGTGTTGTGGTGCATTGCGGTGCGTTGTGTTGTGTTGTGTTGTGGTAGTGCCTCTGAGCCCAGTCAGGGATGAGGGCCCCACTGTGCTAGGTGCGGTGCAAACAGAACAGAAAGACTGTCCGTTTCCCAAAGAGCTGGCAGCCTGAATTACCCCTAGATACGCTCCAGTTGGGCTCCCAGAATCAGCGGCCACTTTTGGAAATGTTTTGCCTCCGTTTTTTTAAATTAAATCTCCAATTTTGCAGGAGCAGCAGGGCAGTGGTAGGAGCCGCTCTGGCTCAGTGGAACCCTGCCGAGTGCTGTTCTCCTGCATTTTATTCACACACATTTGTGTGTGTGTCTGGGTGTGACCTAGATAAGAACCGAGTCCCTCTTCCGCTTTCCCCAGATAAAATGCAATAAAGCAGGCGCACAAAGACACCTCCCCGCTCTGTCTTTCACTCGAAGTCACAAGCAGAACAAAAGGAGCCTTCGGTTCTTCCGGACCCGTCTTGGAGGGCGAGCTGGCTGTGGAAGCCAGGAGGACTCTGTCCCCTGGGGGCGAGCCCCTTGCAGAATGAATAAGAAGGAGAAAGAGGGCGAGGGGAGGACAAAAGGGGACAGGGCGGGAGGAGGAAAATGGAGTGGACCAACTCGGACGCGTTCCATTGTCTGGGGAGAGAGGCGAGAAACTGAGGCTCTGTCTCTGAGACCCTAGTAAAGGCCCGAACTGTGCCAGGCGCTGTACGCATCTAAAGGAAGCAGCAGCCCCTGCCCTGAATAGCTGATAAGCTGAGACGTCTGGTGGGCCGAGTCCCCCTTTGCCTGACGCCCCTGGTGGAAATCGAAAGGCTTCACAGGGACAGTTTCGATGTCAACAACGTTCTGGCAGCCCAGCCTGTCGGGGGTGGGGCTGCTTAAAATGGAAACCTGCCTGGTTCCCTGCCAGCTCCCTGCCAGCTCCCGGCAGCCTGCCTGCCATGCTCCTAGCTCCTCTGTCCCCCACGTCTCTGGGGGCAGCCCTCCATCCGAGCCCCGGAGCAGCCTGGGGCCAGGTCTCCGTCCCTTCAGCGCTCTGATTTCCATTTCCAAATTGGAACGCACCCAGGTTTTGACTCTGGAAATCCTCCAGGGGTTGGACGGTCCTTTCTGCACCCAGCTCTCCGGGTGCAGCATGGGGCCTGGAAGCAGACACCTCCCTAGCGGGCAGGGTCGGCTCGAGCCATTCCTGCGCCCTGGGCAGCGGGTGCACAATGCATGCACAGCCCCGCCCCCACCGCGCGGCGCCCCTTACAGCTGCTATCAGGCGCCCCCCATAGCTTGGCGCCCTGGGCGGCTGCCCGGCTAGCCCCCCCCTTAATCCGGCCCTGCTAGCGGGCCCCGGGACCTGTCTGTTCCCGTTGCTGACAGTAGCAGCTCTTGTCGGGACACTGCTCCCCGCCAGCTCCCTGAGCCGCTGCTGGCAGGGACGGGGGGGTGGCGGGCGCCGGGGCCCCGTGACCGGGGGTGGGAGGCCTGACGGCGGCAGAGCTCCAAGAGGGGAACACAGCCCCCCGATGATGGGAGGTTCTCACGAGTGTTCCTTTCTCGCCCTAACAGGCAGCCCCGGGAGTGGAAGCCACGTGCCCTGCGGCCTGGGGAACGGCAGCTGCTGGTCCAGAGGAGCGACCGCTTGTCCTCCACCCAGGGCGAGGAGTCCCTCCCTCGGAGCAGGGCTCTTCCAGCCAGGCCTCAGGGTGCAGGCCCCGAGCCATCTGTGGGGGGGAAGCAGGAGCCGCTCTCCGGCCAGAGCAGCGTGGCGGGTAGCGCTGTTTCTGAGTACCCTCCACACAAGCCTTTCCGCCGGGCAAAGTCCTCCCGGCCCGAGGTGAGCACCTGGGATGCTGAACGGGAGGCAGAGCTCCCATCTCCTCGGGGTCGCTGAATCCGGGGCAGAGATCTAGGCCCTGAGAATTAGGCCCTGTCTGTTCGGGGGTGCTGAGAGCCAGCGAGACAAACGGTCCACTCTGTGTGGAACGGAAACCGCGTCCAGCCAGAGGGGGCTGCCGCCCCACGTTCCCACACCCCGGGTCCCAGCTCCTATGTCTGTGGGCAGAAATTGGCTACTCGGCTGCGGAAATGCAGCCACCTCTGGGGTGTTGTCCTCCGCAGCGGTTTAACAGCATGCTGGAATACCCGCCAACCAGTTCTTAGGCAGGAATGTCCACACTACTGCAGAGGGCAGGGTGCAATTCCCCAGTGTGGAATATGGCCCGATGCCCCCGGGTTTTACACCCTGGCTCCTGCAGCCTGGATCTTGGGGTTTCCTTTAATGGCCAGAACCTCGGGCTTCTCTCTCCCGTAAAAGATGGTGGCCCCAGCAACGCAGTCCCCTGAACGCCTTGCTAGGGACTTTGAGCATTGACCACTGCCGGGCTGACCAGCCCCTGGCCTTGGCGTGCCTGCCCGGGTGGCCTCCCCTGTGGCCGCAGACCGGCTCTCCCTGCTGATCCAAACTGCCTCATGTTCCCCTTCCCTTGCAGGACCATCGCATCGTGTCTCCAGGGACGGACAGCGGGTTTGTGGGGTCAGAGGCCAGCCGAGTGTCCCCGCTGACGCGTAGCCCGGAGCATCACTTCTCTCGCCCTGCGTACGGACCTGGCCTCTCTTCTCCCCCCTCCCAGGCCTATGGGCTGCCCTCGGCCCCTCTCTGCCCTGGGGCTGATCACAGGGAGGGAGTGTGTGACACGATGCAGGGGGAGGAGCTTGAGTATATGGGGCCCAGTGGGGGTTGGTCGTTGGTGAATAGGGGAGGGGCTAGAGCAGGAGCGCCGAGTGGGGGAGGGGATCTGAGGACACGGGGGGACCCCCCTAGTCCTGTTATCCCCGATTTGCTGAATGGGGCGAGAGGGTTTGGAGCAAAGGGGATGGCTAGTGAGCGGGGGATGGTAGTTACAGAGCTGGGCCGAGGTGCCCGGAAAGACGTGGGACGGAACAGACCAGAGGAAACCAGCCTGGGAGCAGCCGGGCGGGTGATAGCTTGGAGAGTCCCTCAGTGAGGCCCGTGTGTTTGCCTTGTTCCCAGGACCCCTGGCATGCTGGGAAGGTCTGGCCCCACAGCCAAGCCGGCTGCCCTTCGCGCTTCCCTGAGGAAAGAGGCTTCTCCGGTGCCTCCGGAAAAGGGACTGCAGGACGTGGACCCATC